TCACTGCAACCTCTGTCTCCTGGATTCAAGGGATTCTACTGCCTCAGCCTCCCAAGTAGCTGGGACTATAGGCACGCGCTTCCATGCCCTGCTAGTTTTTTTGTATTATTAGTAGAGACGGGGTTTCGCCACGTTGCCCAGGCTAGTCTCGAACGTTTGAGCTCAGGTGATCTGCCCACCTTGATCTCCCAAAGTGCTAGGATTACAGGTGTGATCCACCGCGCACAGCCAAGAACAGGTTTTCAAAAACTATTTATATATTTATGTATTTATTTATCTTAGAGATAGGATCTCGCTATGTTGCCCAAGCTAGACTCAAACTCCCGCGCTCAAGTGACCCTCCTGCCTCAGCAACCCAAATAGGTGGGACTACAGGCATGAGCCATCATGTGCAGATAAGAACTATTTAAAGATACATTATCAGTTCAAGACACATTAAAGGGAGGCCAATGGTAGAAGACCTGGCCATTGGAAGGAAGAGGGCAGAAGAAGAAAGAATGAGTCTTGGAAGCTAGAGAAAGGAGGCCATCCAGGGGACAGAAGTCAGGGCAAAGTAGGATAGAGTGTCAGAAGGTCGGGAATTTTTTTTTTTTTTTTTTTTTGAAATGGAGTCTCACTCTATTGCCTAGGCTGGAGTACAATGGCATGATCTTAGCTCACTGTAACCTCTGTCCCCCAGGTTCAAATTATTCTCTTGCCTCAGTCTCCTGAGTAGCTGGAATTACAGGAGCACACCACCATGCTTGGCTAATTTTTATTTCTTTTAGTAGAAACAGAGTTTCGCCATATTGGCTAGGCTGGTCTCGAATTCCTGACTTTGTGATCTGCCAGCCTCAGCGCCCCAAAGTGCTGGGATTACAGGCATGAGCCAATATGCCAGGCCAAGAAAAAAATTTTTAAAAAGGCACGGCTACACGTCCTGGTGCCAGGACAACAGAGGGCACAACACAGGTACCAGGTGAGCCACCAGGGCACTGCCAACAGCTCTCCAACAGCTGTCTTTCATTCAACAGAACTGGTACACTATGTGGCCTCTCTGTCCATGGCCTAATTCAAGCCACCCTGTCCACCAGTCAGGTCTCTTCATTTGTTCTAGTTAGGTGATCACATTGCAGAAGTGGGGGCAGTGATTCTACAGAGCTCTGATCAAGTGGTTTGTGAGAAGGCAGCACACACCAAGGTGAACCACTCCATGACAAACCATAGTAGGTGAAGATCACCTGTGCAGGTATACAGCTGGGAAGAACTGAACATCCGAAAGTCAATGCTCAGTGATCCCACAATCAATGACCATGTCAGTGCCCACTGGGACTCACAAGAGACAGCTGGCAGAAAACTTCTACTAGAATGAGGGAATGTGGCAGAAGGGACAGAAAAATCACAGATCCTGACAGGTAACCTAGCCAGGAAAAGACCCAGCTGCATGTGATATGCCACACAGGGCGTTGAGGGGCAGGACTTCTAGCACCGTGCCATCACGGT